GAAATGGTTGTGCGTGAAAATCCCAGTAACTGAGCAAATTGTGAAATACTCAGACCGGCCCATCAGGCACCAAAAACCATGCCACGCTCAAAATTGCTTAAATCACCTTTCTTTCCCATTCTGACATTCAGTTTGGAGTTCAGGAGATTGTCTTGACCAGGACCACACCCCTAAATGCATTGAAGCAACTGCCATGTGATTGGTTGATTAGATAATTGCATTAATGAGATATTGAACAGGTGTTCCTAATAATCCTTTAGGTGAGTGTATAAGTAGAAGATAAATTTTTTTTAAGGAAAATGTATAATAAAAATGCCAACATTAAAAAAAATGACCTTTTGCGTTTTCCCCCAGAGAAATTACAGAGTAGGTATTCTGAAGTGTGCATCCATAGTGAACCCAGTGTGGAGGATACATAACACATAATGAGTAAGTGACAGCATGAAGTGCAATCGCACGAGTCACAATCTGCTTACAGTAGATGTTAGATTGGATCCTCCAGAATGACCTCTGGCTGTGTATCTGTTGGTACCAAAGCCAGACCCGGCGCCGAACCCCGAGCCTCAATGCCGATGTAGCAGTCACGTGTCAGCGGGGGGGGGCACACCTGAGCCCCGGGGACGATGCCGGGTGGGCATTGACGTTGGCAGTTCAGCATGTAGAGGGCTGTAAAATACAAACCCTCCTGGGTGATTTGAATGGCAGATGGTAAAATAAATCCGGGCTGACCTTTTTAACTGGCCGGTCACATGTTCAAAGACGATCGTGTGCTAATCCCCACTAATCATCTCGCCGTGTCGGCCGTGGCCATGCTGCCAGGAGCGGTGGCCTCTGTGGGCAGTGAACAGCCATGGCGCTTCGCCGGCGAGGTGATCCTGAGTGTGGGATGGATGGCCCCTGTAGGCTGGGGGCCCCGTACGGGATCTGAGGGGCCACGCCCACTGCCGTTCCTGTCACGGGGCGGGGGGCGTGAAAACCAAGCTGTGAGCAGTGGGATGACCTTTCCCTGCTCTAACTATAATATTATCATAAGATGATGTATTGAGTTGCAGCCTTCCTGGCGGATTCACAGGAGGCTTGCACATTTAATTGGGGGGGGGGAGGGGTTCTAGGTATGAAACTGCACACATAGGAAATCAAATAAGGGTAGCTGGGACCCTGAGACCTCTATCGGTAGAGCATCAAACTGAGCATCAAATGAGGGTCTATGGTTCAAGTCCCGGTGTGGGTGTGGCTCTTTCATGAATTTCTCCTGGGATTGACAAAGTTCAATGTTGGTGGGGTTGTTGTTGAGCACTGTGCTGTGTTTTTATTGGTTTCACCATTACGCACTTAGTGTTCAGTGCGCGCTTAACACTGTGACTTTCCTCAGCGTGTTAACGCCCTCCCATAAACCGCAGGCCATCTGACGCAGTACATATCCGGGATTCCGGTGCGTGTTCCGACCCTTGCTCTCCGTGCTGCGCTGCCACGGGAGGGGGGTCCCGAAAACCACCTGTCAGCAGAGCCGCGTCGAGAATGGGGGCAGCAGCTGGCAGGGGCCGAAGGCACGAGAACGAGGGGGCGGCTGACGGTGCTCCTCCGTCATCCGGGTGGGAACGGATCCGCTTACACCCGTGCTGCTTCGCCTGGGATGAGATAGGAATCCAGCCACCCTAATGGGGGGAGGAAGATCTGCCCTGTGCCAGAAAAGGAAAGTGTTTGTGGGCAAAGCGGGCTAGTTTCATCTGGGAGCGTCAGGCCTGGTGCGATAGGGCGTCCTAAGCGATCCGTCACCTTTAAGATGCATGGGACAAACACTGAGATGAAATTTTGATCTTGTTGGTCATAATGCAATAAATAGTAACAAATAGAATATAGATGTATATAAGGCAGTCAAATATATTAAGACATGGACAAAAGACAAAAAGACACCGTTAAAAAGTACAGTTATGCAAATGAGCAATCAGTCATAGACACACATCGTTTCTCTACTGGATATGAATCTGTGGTATTATGCAATGGCACATTTTTAGAAGGCTTTCTCCAGTGAAAGCAAAACGTACCGCTCTGCGTGGTGAGACCTTGTGGCTTATTTCCGCAGGAAGACTCACTGTGCCAGAACATGAGGAATTAGGTCAGCTTCAGCGTCGCCGCTTGAGTCCGACATCCCTTTGCCCAGCCGTCATTCCCCCCCGCCCGCCTCGGAGCCAACTGCAGCTCTGTAGAAATTCAGACTTTTACAGTATATCTAGGATATATGTGTGTCCCTCTTCCAGCTGATTATTCTGGTCAGGATTATGGAGCGGGGAGCCTCTCCCAGGCATCATAGACAGGCGTACAACCTGGGCAGGATGCCTCATCACAGGGGAACATACACACACAAAATCATACACTATGGGCTGTTTAGAGATTAGTCTCACAATATGCCTCTGTACTGCAGAAGAATTTGCATATAATGAAGGATTTAAACCCCCAGCCATAGAGGCAACAGTGCTATCTACTGTCTATAGTGTGTGTGTAATATATACACTGCAAAGACAGTAGCATCAGCTTGGATGCCACCGAACCAGTTTTGGTTGAGATTACAGTAAATTTGTTTCAATTAGCAATACGCTGTTTATTGATTTACATTACATTGTCTTTTAAGTTTATATAAACCATTATTTCAATCTCAATTTATAATACATTTCTGAATATGTTAGTGGACTAACATTAGGTTTGTTGGGGGTGTTTGGGTAAGTGAGATGTAGTGTTTCTCTTCCAAAAGAAGCAGGATTCACCATCAACGCCTGAAAAGTGTCTAACTGTTGAGTCATCATTCTTTTCCAAATCATGAGAAGATCTTTTAAAATATTACTTAAAGGAGTTTTTAACCTCCCCACCCCACCATGATATTGGTATGGCCTGACCATATCATTGCTGTTGTGATGACATGAGGAAGCGGGAGGTTTCAGCAGTGCCAAACAACACAGCCTTTCCCAGTTTCCTTTGAGGAGCAGCTGACCTCCGTCAGTGTCGGCAGAAGTGCTCTGAGGACATGGGGGTTGTTGCCCTGACATGTGATCATTCCCACACCCTACCTTCCCCATGCTTGTTTCACAGTGTTCGTGTTTCTTTGTGACATTCACCTCGGTGAAAACTGGTAAAGTTGATAGCAGTCTGACAGTTTGAACAGAATGATGACATTCTGCTCTATTCAGGTCAGGGGTGACTTCCTCCACTCATGTTCACCCATTGAGAGATTACTGCATGCTCTTGCTAACTGTTGGCCTTTTCTTCATGATTGATGGGGTGTATCTCTTTCAATGAAGATCATCTTAGCATTGTGGACAAGGAGGAGTTGTATTCTATCCTTGAAAATCCAGCCTGGCCCGTCACTCAGGTAGTCACATGCTCCTTCCTGATTTCCCTGGGAATTTCTCCCCATCCGAATGTCCGGATACCACAGATATGGCAGCTCTGGAATCCACAACGGTGATAAATGCACATGGACTGGATCCCAACCACATCATCACCATTCCCATCATTCCATGGGAAATTCCGCAGAGACTTGTAGGGAACAAACATGTGCTTACTTTTGCAAGCTAGAATAAAATAATGTTTTTCCAGTCATAAATGCTTAAACTTCTCATGTGGCATAATTCAAGTTGCTTTTCTCAAGATGCCACTTGTCATCTGACTTGGTGCTATGTATAGGAATAAGAATTATGAGCTAGCTGTTTTGAGTGTTTTTCTTTCAAGGAACAGAATACGGTGAAGAACAGGCACACCTGGTTGATATGGCAGCCATCCAGCTCACAGCAAGAAAGGAACTGGCAATGACTAAGTACTTCTGCTGCCCTCTACTGGAGCCCTGAGGCACAGTCAGATACTCGCATCGATTTCTCTGCTTTCCAAACGATTAACTTTAAACTTCTTTTGAGGTCCAAGCCCATAAATCAGGCTAAATATAACATATCGATGATTTCCTTCCTAAAAGCTTCTATAATTTCAGTTAATTGCCTTATGAGGCATGGTTTTAAATAATCTGAGATTTCACATAAATGCTTGTCTGTTGCTCTTTTGCAGGCCCTATCTTCCATACTGTGATAGTCAGCTTAAGGATGTTGTAATGTCAGTATAATTTAAACAAGCACTTAAAGACTGAAATTTAATTCGGCTTCACATTGACACAACTTGTGGGATAAATAATAAAGTTAACCATAAAAGCAGGCACCTTTATTCATATAACATTTGTTATTATACAGAATTTTTTAGAACTATTTTTATTCTTATACATTTACCAGCAGTGGCTAAAAAAGGAGGCTAACAGAAAAAAAAACCCACACAGACAAAACGAAATAGCAAACGTATCAAAATCAGTTTTTACAACTTTTGTAGCAACCAATTCTCTCTATTGGTCTGCCATAGTGCAAACTGTATCGTTAAAAATACCCAGTCTGAACGTGCTTATAACAGTCATCGTCCTCCAGCGTCTCTTCCTGTATTGACGTGCTTCAATAGTGCCTCTGCGAGCTCTGCTGTCCAGTAACTCTGATTTACCAGAAAGTTTTCGGGTGAGCAGATAAAGCTATGGTTTGCAGGTGAGTTAGGGCGTCTCGTGTGCATGTTAATAGTTGGTGGCTTTCAGTTCGAGATCAAGCAGCCCCTTGGTTCACAGTTGCCGTGCTCTGAGCGAATGTAATGGGTCATCTCATTGGCTATTGTGTTCATAAGATGATGCATAAACAGATAAGCTATCAAAGCTGTTTTATGCTGGGGGGTGGAAACAAGCAAGAGTGTCCATGTTTGAGTAGGAGTGTGGGTTTGTCAGAAGGAACGGATCAGAGGTGTGACAGGAAGTGACACTGCCTTCCTGCCTCTTCCGCTCCCCTTAAACAGAGCTGCCCCTCCCCATATCATCTGGTTGGTCACTTTCTGCTCTGCGGCTGGGGGTCTGTCACTGCTACGCTGCTTCTATTGCACAGTGTGATCTTTGGGGGGGGAGGGTTAATTTAGGAAGCGCGCTGATAGGGGAAGTTGTTCAGGAGGCCTCGGGAGTCCGTGCCGGCGAAAGAGTGTCCCGGCTGCCAGTGCTCACGAGCAGCCGCAGCGGTCCACCACCATGGAGGGGATCTTGCCATAGATGATCTGCTCCTTCCTGTTGAAGTAGAGCATGTTGATGGGCGACATCTTGGTGGGGGTGCAGCAGGGGCCGGCGGTGCCGCGCGGGTTGGCCTTGTTCACCAGGTGCGTGTGCGGGTACTTCTGCAGGTGCATGTACTCGCACTCTCCAGAGCAGTAGTTGGCCTTGTATCGCTTGGGGGCGATGATCCAGTCCCAGCCGAAGTCCTCGAAGTCCACGGTGAGCGGGTAGCGGCAGCAGCGCGACTCCAGCGAGTTCTCATCGCACTCGAGGCCTGAGTCCCTCCTCGAACGCCGCGGGTTGTCGGAGATTTTTACCTCCATGAAAGGTTGCTAGGTGGGGGGGTGGATCACAAACATGGTATTACACACCGATACATCCTTAGTAAAGGTTTAACGACTATGATTTAGCAATTTCTGCAGCTTGCGTCAACAAGTAAACGAAGATGTCCAATTTTTTACAGAGACCTATGCTAAGGGAAATTCAGTGTCTGTTTTGCACTCAGAGCATTTATATAATACTGTACAATTATATAAAAGCTATTAGTGTTAGTAGCACTTATAATGAGCACTTTCTGATTAACACTGCTAGTGTTTCACTGTTCTTTGTTGGCTTTTAATGGGAGGTATCGTTACAGTCAAAACGGGAAGGACACAAAAAAGTGTGCAGGATACGAGTACTGCTTCTAATTATCACAGCTGAAAACATCTGACTGGTATTAAAAACAAAATAGTGACCGCGACCTAACAGCAAAACAAAATCCGCGGGCCATTATGTACATATTGTGACGCAGAACCTTACCTGGAGAACAGCCGGTGCGGGTCAGGCTGTATG